GAATTTTCCATTGCTGTTTACAAGGGGGTTATATGAAGCAATAATTTTAAATAAGAATAAAAAACAGAGGCTAATTCTGTCAACCTGTCAGAGAAAAGGTAAAGATTTGGGCAATTAAATTGGTAATAGTTGGAATCATGGTTTAATAGCAAATGCAACTGAAACTGTGTATTGTTCGCAGCAGTGCAAATCAGAGGATTCATGGTGCTTGTCATTTAAATTGGATTTTTTTCTTTTGCTTGTTTGGTCTTCTCTTGGAGATAGGTCCTCTTATGTGATCTAATTGAAAGTATTTTTATAATGTGAATGCCACAATGAAGTGAGATGGCAGTTCTGACAGTGTAAATTCCTGTATCTTAAAATGTACCTTTCACTCACAAGTGCAATTACCCACATATTAGTTTGAATGAAATAATGACATGAAGCAGGAATGAAGTAACATGGGAAATTACTGAAACAAATAAATTGGGATGTGATGGAACATTGCAATAGAAACAAAGAATTATTTTTAGTCAATTTTTAAAGCATTTTTTTAAAAGATGCATTGAGGTCATCTGTTCAGATGCTGGCTTTCTGCTCACTCAGATATTGGTCCTAATTCTTCATGCTATCACACTAGGTTTATGACAGTGTAACTCCTTTGAAGTCAGAGTCACCACAGAGTAAAAATGGCATAACAGAGTAGAGAATTAGGCCAACTGTGTACTCATTGGATCCTATTCTGCCTGAGCAGTAGGCAAAAACCTGCATGGTCATGGCAGCAAACCAAAGTATATGAAGACCTCCATCATATAGACCTGAATTTAGTTGGAAGAAGGAACTAGTAAACATTTTCAGTGTTGTTTTACCAGCCTGCAGGTGAACTCACCCCGGTGTTTTGGCATCTGATGAAAGGCATTTGTTCAGTGCTTTTGCCTTATTTCCTTTGATCACACTAGGTTTTTATATATTTTGTGTATGTGTGTGGTCATTTCATCTATGTCTGTGGTTCGTTTTTCAAGTCATAGTTAAGTGAGAAGGAAGAGGGGGAGAATAGAAAGTTACTGTAATTGATGAGGCTACAGTGCATTAGGGATTCTGTACTACAGAGAGCAGAAAAAATAATCCTCAAAGCATTCCACACAAAATAGCAGAAATCTGCAAAGTGCAGATAATTTATGTCCTGTGCTACTGCCAGGAGCTCATCAGAGAGATAGAAATAATATTGATTTTCCCCCTAAGCTTTGGTATTCCCAGTTTGCTAGTGAACCCCATGGATACCACACTTGCCCTGTGATAAATGATGAGAAATTAAAAGGGAAATGTTTGAAGACTTTTGTGGTTGTAATGCTCTTCAGTAGAATATATTTTTCAAAAACCCTTTCATTTTGGTTTACAGTCTGGTTACAGTCTTCTTTACAAGTTATAGTGCAAAAACTAATCATCCCCCGAAAGTTTCTTCAGAACTATTGGACATTATACAGAAAGAGGCCACAGTAGATGAGCATGTTTTACTAATGCCCACTTAAAGAAAAAAGGCAATTGAAGTGGACATTTGAAATAAAATAAAGACACCCAGAAACATCCAAAGAGAACAAAATAGCTGTTTTTGAACTTGTTCCTTTTTATTGTGTGCCATGTTACTTCCTTATTTCCATTTTTCTAAAATAAAACTTCATTTGATTTGTTCACTCAAGCAACATGAAGTTCTGATACGTTGAATGGACTTTTCATCAAGAAGTAGCTGTATTTGAGTACAAAGATTTTCAATACAGTTATCATTTCTGAGCTGCTAGCCACCATCTTGCTAACCAGTGACATCTTCCTTTTGGTCTTACTGACGCTGAGATCCATTTGACTGTAGAATCACAGTCTAATGAAAGCCTAGTCCCTGGAGACGTGGAAATTGGACTGGCGAAAGCACTAGAAAATATAGAGTATGGAAAAGTTCTTCTCTGCTAGATGGATGCACTTGATGAATATTAATATTGATAAAAATAACTGTGTAGCATCATACCTGGCTCTTGACAAACACAGACTAAGAAATTCTCCCTGACCCTCATGTGCTTACAATCTCATAGAGACAAGAAAAAGATGAGACAAAGAAACAGAACTCATATAAGGGAGAGAGTGGAAATTACAGATGAGGAGAGCAAAGTAGGGTGGAGTTCTGGAAGAAGTGGGTTTTAGGAAGGGATGATTGAAGGATAAGAGAGAGAGGGTGTTTGGAGGACAGGAAGAGGGAAACATTAAGTATGGAGCTGAGGGAGGATTGGGAGGAACACAGAGTGCAAATGGGAGGTGGGAAATATTTTAGTTACTATTAAAAAGATAACATTTGCTAAGAGTTACCTCGCAATAGTATCCTACTTTGACCTTCAAACAGCACTGTGTGTTAAATGCAGACTTTTTTTCAGTGGGGATCACTATAGGAAAAAATAAGAACAGAGTTTTAAATTTGGGAAAGATTATGTGAAGCCTTGAAGGTGAGGAAAAGGAGCTTTACTTTTATGCAGTAAGGTTTTATTCAAAGCCAGTGAAGTCAATGTGAGTCTCCATTGAATTTTATGGGCTATGAATCAGGTCCTGATTCAAGAAGGTGGTGTTGTGGTTGGAGTAACTGAGGTGTTAGCATTTTGAATAAATTGGAGGGTGCAGAGTTAAAAACCAGTTAGACTGGAGAGAAGAAAGTCATGATCATCAAGGTGAAAGATGACCAGGGCAAGGACATGTGTTTCTGCATTGGCAATAGTAAGGAAGGGCTGGCTAATTAGTATATTAAGGAGTCAGAAGCTAAACGAAGTAGATAGAGACAGAGTCTGGGGAAAATAGAGAGAGAGATGTCAAAGATGATGCTGGGGTTGCAAGCCCAGCAAATGGGATGGATAAAATGAATATGAAAGGGTTATAAACACAGTTGAATTAATATTCCCCTTTAAATTCAGTCAAGGTTATTTGTAGTGCTGTGGGAATAACTGATTTTTCAGTTTGCTGGCTGTTTTGAAAAATGGGCAAAAGAATAGTTTTGGGTCAACCCTAAGTGATTTTTTATTTTTTATTTTGGAGACTCTAAAAGTTGGGTAGAAAAATTCATTTTGGAGTGAATGAAACATTTTGTTAAACCTGAAACATTTTGTATTGATTTCAAAATTTTGTTTTCAAAGCATAACATTTAAACATTTTGTTCAGAAAATGACAAAATAAATCGTTATGACTTTTTAAAAAATGCCTTTTTTAAACTGAAACAATTTGGCAAAATTGACATGAATTAATGAAATGTTTTGGACAGCCCAAATCTTCATTTTTTGCTGAAAAATGTTTTGGCAGATAATTTTTGCCCAGCTCTAGTTGTATGTGCACAAACCTATATGTGTGTGGGGAAAAGGAGGTTGACAAGAAAGAGGGTTTAAGGTATGAATTATTTTTAATAAAGGGGAAGAAACAATAGGACTTAACAAGAAATTCGATACTAGTGAAGAATTATGATTGTTGCTATACGTTATGAGTGCTGCTGAATATTTGTTGCTATGAAGCTCCAGTACTGACAGAGATCCTGAAAACCATCTTCAGAGTTATCTGTACCCCACTAATGCTAGTCCATGAGGATGAGATTGTAACGTTTGGTAGCCGCACTGGCACTGGGGCAGGCACAAAGAATTGTAATTCCTCCCTTGCCATGTGGGTGGAGTAAATTTCTTAATCCCTTTCTGTGGAGCAGATTCCCATCCTTTCGCCCTCCCCTCAGGAATCAAGGCCTGCAGTAAACTAGTCTCCAGGCAACCTAATAAGCACAGCTGGCCTGCAGCAGGCTGCCTGATTAGCCATTCCACAGTAGCTTGCTTGCTGTTCAACACTCATATCAGCCACTGTTATTAGTCCAGCATTGCCTTGTTCCTGCTTCTTCTGCCCTGCCTGAGCCCTATCCCTGGCTGAGCCCCCATTTTACCTGTTACTCTGCTTGTTCCAGGTGATTCTGGCTCTGACCCTTGGCTCTGCACTCTGGTTCCTGCCTCCAGCTTTGGCTCTTGGATCCACTTCCTGACCTCCAGCTTGACTCTTACCTCTGGCTTCCGACTGTTCCCTCTGGCTCTTACCCTAGCCCCTGGTTTCTGATACCCGCTCCACCCACTAGGCCTGACTATCCACATCCCAGTCACCTGATACCCCTCATTTATGTGCCCAGTCAGATATCCTGGTCATGAGCGGGGCAGCGTTGCTGCTCTCTGATCCTTCTTGTCTAGATTCTGGGCTTCAGAACCTTACAACAAGGGATATCAGGGGAGTGACCTCTGTTCTCCCTACTGTGGATGGAATCACAGTCTGAGCAGGGGAGTGGGGGTGGAGAGCTTATTCCTTTTTCCCTGTGCTAATATGTAAGGGCTGTGACAATCTAGCTCTAATCCAGTATCAAAAGCCTGGTAAACCTCTCTTCCTCCAGTGTATTTGGTTTGTGTTTTACACCAAGGAGTGACAGTTACATGTGCTAAGTGGATTATACTGGAGACAGCCAAAAAGTATAGTGGTATGTGGGGCCTGCAGAATCTGTGAAATCCTGCAGGGACTCGAGGAAAGCTTGTGTTATGCTTAGAAATGGGCCCAAGCCATTATTTGGATCTGAACTGAGCTTTATTCAGTTCTAGGCTTTTGATGTGAATCCCTCTAATTACAATATGTTGACTCCTACACTTAGGGGCTGGCATTATCTGGCAGAAGTTACTGCCCTTTTCATCTCTCTCCCTCTTTCCTGTTTGTAGCCCTTTAGAAAAAGGGCTAAGATATACAGAACATAACCTTTCAAAGCATTCCTGTGTGTTCTGAAATGTGGTAGGATTTGTTTTGATAGACGGTTTTCAGTGCTCAGATGCCCGTAGAACGGTAGCTTATCTTTCTAATCTGTTTCATGTAATCTTTTTTTGTCTAATGTGATCTCCGTATCCAGTCCTCGCTGCATCTATGCATGGTATGCTGTGGCCCAAAAAACACGAACAGTGAATTCTAAAATGCATTTCTTTGTTTCTTTCCAACAGCTGGCTGTCCAGACTCCTTGATTAAAGAGCTTCATCACTTCAGAGTTCTGGGAGAAGAACAGGTGAGTTAACATCTCAAAGACTGCGTCATAGTGTCACGAAAGATAGACGCTAATGAGACAGTTTCTTTTCTCTCCAGGGAAGCAGAGTATGTCTCATGACCCCCAGTGCCTTGAAATGGGGAAGAAAAACACACAGGAGATGTGTGTGAGAATATTTTTTTTATTCTATCCATCAGCCTTGACAGGTTATTAATTGGTACATCTGCTATCTGCCACAGCTTTTCAACTCAGGACTCCAGCAGTAAACAGGCTCGGTAAAGTGGCAGATAGGCAAACAAGAAAATACAAGGATGAAGTCTGCCTAAGGGATTGATATTTAAAGCTATCTTTGATATTATCTATATCTTTTTGTGGTCCAGAACATTTCTGTATTTTTAAAAGTCTATTATTCAAAACTATAACAACATTTTGAATGTATATAGCATTTTCTATATGAGAACCTCAAAGCACCTCATAAATATTAAACAAACTAAGAAGCCTCACAATGCCCAGGGGGCTGTGGTTCACGGCGGGGGAGTTGATCACCTTATGAGTTCCCCCAGTGCAAAGCACAGCCTCTGCTGACACCGCTCCACACATGCCTGAGGATTCCAGTTTGGGCTGCAATGTGGCCCCCTACCCCCAAACTACATCAATTTTTAAAAGCGGCCCACCAACCTCCCCATTTCCAACACCCCTGGCTGGACGCCAGTCAGACCTGCTTGGGAAGCCACAGTGAAGTGCAGAGGGACTGTAAGCCTACCCTCTCGGTCTGGATGGTGAGAGACATGGGTCTGCACCTGAGAGAGGTGACGGCTGGGAGCTGGAAACCTTAAGATGGTGTCCTACAGGAAGAGGTATGTGTGTGTGTGTGTGTGTGTGTGTGTGTGTAGGGTGCAGTTAACCCTGAAACTGTGACACACCTAAGTACAGAGATTACTGTAGTTATGTTATCTACTTACAAAAGCACAATTGTAACAAGTCTAATGATGACTTTTGTAACATGGCCTGGAACTAGTGTGCAGTTGGGATTTTAAAATTAACAGTTGGGAAACAACTAATGAGAGAAAGTCTTTGGTCTGGAAAAAAAAGAAGAAAATGAAAATACATCTAAATTAGGAAAACAGGTTGTACAAAAGCCAAGGGGAAGAGAGGAAAGACTCAGGGAATTTTCTTACTTACATGACTATACAGCACATATTTTACTTTTTTCAGTCTTTAAAAATGTGTCTGTCATATGCTCTATTCATGTAGGAGGGGGGGGGGAGGGATAGCTCAGTGGTTTGAGCATTGGACTGCTAAACCCAGGGTTGTGAGTTCAATCCTTGAGGGGGCCATTTAGGGATCTGGGACAAAAATCTGTATGGGGATTGGTCCTGCTTTGAGCAGGGGGTTGGACTAGATGACCTCCTGAGGTCCCTTCCAGCCCTGATATTCTATGATTCTATGATATAATAGAAAACCATACTGCCTCCAACTTGCCCATTGGAACTAACAGTTTCTACCCATCTTAACCCCTTACACCCTCTTCAACCCATCCCCCTCTCAAAAGCCTAAGGAGAATAGATGCACCTTGCAATATGATTAGTCTAGTTCGGTTTTTAATGTCTCCGTCACTGTGGTATCAGAGCTCACAGAAATTCAAATAAAGCAAATGTGAAATTTTCTTTCTTTTCTTTCTTTCTAAGACCATACTATCCTCTCCGCCATCTGGGACTTAATCCTGCAAGGTGCTGAACACACTGACCTCCTATTGAAGCCAATAGGAGATGAGGATGCTTGGCACCTGGAAGGACAAACTGTTGGAGAACATACTGAATGTGTGTGCCTGGTTTCTTTATCTAAACATGAACAGTGAGGTAAAACTAGTGCAAAGAGATGGTTTTTACATTTAATTTGGGAGGTGGTAAGTTCCATGGTCATGCTGGTATCTGATGTTAAGGAGTTCCATAGCAATGGACCCCTCCACCAGAATACTTAGTGTGGCTGTACAGAGGAGTGAACTCAATTACGTGAATTCAATTACGTGAACTCCAGAGTTCCTGATAAGTGTAGCTATCATGATAGGCATTGGGTGAAAAGCCTATATCCTTAATTACCTCAACCAGGCAAAAGGTAGCAAGTTTAGCTTGACTTATATAAAACTTTATAAAATTAAGCAAAAGTAAGAGACAGAAACTCATACAACCTGGATTTGCTTAAACTGAAAGAACTGATTAGCAGTCTTCAAGTCTCCTCATAAGGTTACAAAATTGCTCTAACAACAGACCAGGACACTGAAAGAAGTGGCCATAATTTGGATCACTGGATAAGTGTTTTGACTGGACAGTTTTAATGGATGAGGTGTCAGCTAGCGCTGGTCAGAACATGCTTTTTGTTTCTGTTTTCACTCCACCTTCCCCACACACAGAAAATTGTGAGTTTTCAACAAATAAAGTGACATTTTTGCAAAAAAAACCAAACAACTCTACCCAGAAAATAAAAATATTTCTGTTTTGAAATATTGAAATTTTCCATGGAGAGCAGACACTTTTAATGACAAATTTAGTTTGGTCCAAAACCCAGGTTCCTGTTAGAAAGAAAGAAAGAAAGAAAGAAAATCCCAGTTTCAACAGAATTTTTTTGAACAATATCATCCATTTTTTGCACATTATTTTACTTGGTAACTTGCTCAGGACTGTGGGCTGAACAGTTTAAAGAAACTAACTTGCACAAGAGGGATTAGGGTGACCAGACAGCAAGTGTGAAAAATCGGGACAGGGGGTGGGGGGTAATAGGAGCCTATATAAGGAAAAGACCCAAAAATCGGGACTGTCCCTATAAAATCGGGACATCTGGTCACCCTAAGAGGGATTGATTTTCACTGTCATAGCTATAATTGCTTGCTTGAAAGAAGTGTTGTGTCACCACACCAGAGCTAGTCTGTGTACATCCACCCTGTGCTATAAGTCAAACTTCCCAGCTGTGGTGCACGCACACCCTTAGACTGTAAGCCCTTTGGAGCAGGGATGCTCTTTTTATTCCGTGTTTGTACAGTGCTGAGCACAATGAGATCCTCACCCATAATCTGGGCTCGTAGGTGCCACCGCAACACAAATAATAAATCTTAACAAGATAAGCCTCTTATCTAGTGCAGGCAGCCGATTTTCCTTCTTCCTGAAGTGCAGCCATCCAGACGCTCTCCTACTTCTCCTGTCTCCATGTAGGACTCTCAGAGTGGGTAGAGGCCTACCTTAAGTATTGGTCCTAGGTCCTAGTGCATCGTGCTGAGGGGTTTGACTGTGGGGTACAGGTGAGTGGTAGTGCTATTGGGATTTGTGGCTTTACATTTTTCTTCCTGATGGTTATCCCAGGATTACTACTTAGAAAACTTTACTGTTTCTGAAAGCATTTGTGTTGATCTGCCCAAGTGTTCCTCTGACCTGGAAAGTAACAAAATGTTGGTCCACTGTATGAATGTTAGTTTTATGCAAATAACATAAATTAAGTAAGTTTTCAAGAAAAGTTTGTATTTGTCCCTCAGCTCAATCTCTCTCAGTAAAGTGTGAGATACTTTGTCACCCCTGCTGCTGCTGACAGCACAAACTATTCCTATGATGTAATCTTTTGTCTGTAACAGCAAGGACTCAGACCTTGCAGAGAGAGGGAATCAGGCTTTCCAGCCTTCCTGGGGAGAGGGAATCAAGGGTTTACCATTTCTTTAAGCTTTGTGACACTACATGTCATGGATTGTACCACCAGAGCACCCTCATGGGGTTTGGGTGGACACCTCTCTCGCCACAGACATCCTTCTCTGACAGTAGGCATCACTTTAGAGCAAGTGCTGAGTTTGGTGCTCCAGCCATAAGTCTTAAGGAGCTTGCACCCCCAAACCCCCAGCTGAATAGCAGTCCAAAAATCTAAGGGGAAAACCAAATAATACTGCAGCCCACAAAATGTCTGGACTCACCCAGCAATTCCCCACAAGGTCAGTGGTCACTATATTCTGTAAAGGGGGTCTGGGTCCCTAGCCCCCTCAGTGTCCATAAGACCTAGCCTGAGCACCCTGGGTTCTAAACAAAACGGGGAAACAAAGTAAAAAAAAGTCCCTTTACTTCTTCAAAGGGCCCACGCAGCAGTAGGGTTGCCAACTTGGTAATATTTAAAAAACGGACACTCCAGCAGGAGTGCCAGAACCTCCCCTGCGCCACCTCTTTCCCCCGAGGCCCTGCCCCTGCCCTTTCCCCCGAGGCTCTGTCCCATCCACTCCCTTCCCCCCTGCCCCTCCATCGCTCACTGCTTTTCCCCTCCCACACCTGCCTCCACCCGGGTCAGGAGGGACTTTCTGTGGAGCTGGGGCTGGGAGCTGCAGCCACCCGACACAGGTAGGAGGCGGCCCCAGCTGAGTAGGGGCTGGCACGGGTGATGACTGTGTGCCTCCCCTGCTCACAGTAACCCGACTTTGGGTGATAGATCGGACCGGACACTGGACACTGTAAGGTTGAAAACCGGGCACCTAGCCACCTTAGGCAGCAGAGGCTCTTTCGCCATGTTCTTGCTAAGGAGAGTGCGATTGACAGATTGACTTAGGGTCCGTGGGCCTTGAAGTGAAGAACATTGGGCTAGAGAGCTCTAGCTCTTACTTTTGAGTGCCACTCTACACCTCCCTTGCAAGGAGCTGACCCTCTCCAGATTTGACAGGCCTCATACGTTCACTGGGTTAGGTCTGATTGTGCTCAGGGGAGCCCTTTAACCCATTCCTGACTGATGGAAACCTGTCCCACCACACTGTATATTCATTTCACTGGTACATGATGTGTTTTGTGGACTTTTTAACTTTACTACTATTAACTGGTTTATGTAACAGTTTTTACTGAAATGCAGAGTGTTGGTAAAGCAACACAAATGGATGGCAACAGATTACCGCTCTGCCTCATCTGTCACACTTTGAGAGGGTGCCTCACAGTCCTTACTAGTAAAATGTCCAATAGAGCTGGGTGAAACTTTTACATCTGAAATGCAGATTTGGGTCGGCCAAAACA